TTTTTTCTTTTTCCTGTTGTCTGTTGCCTGTGTCTGTTGACTGTCTGTTGCCTGTGTCTGTTGACTGTTGTCTGTTGACTGTGTCTGTTGCCTGTGTCTGTTGACTGTGTCTGTGTGTGTATGTTCTCTCTTCTCCTCCTCCGTTCAGCCTTTTACCGAAAGTGATTTAATTTTTTTGTGGTGGACGGGGAGTACGTGATCGTGTGTGTGTTTTAGTGTGTGTTTTTGTGTGTGTGTGTGTCCTGACATCGGAGTCAAAGAGGGAGCGGCCATTACAGTCGAACCAAGATGTGATAAATGTGTGACTCACACTTTCGTGCACGGTGGGACCAAGAGGGGAAGATGATGTGTTAATATTAGTTCCAGGCAGCGTTTGTTTCTTCAACTCTGTCACCTGTGTCGCCCCGCGCTCGTGTGTGTGTGTGTGTGTGTTTCTGAACCTGTACTTTCCCCCTATATTCATCCTTTAAACACAGGGGTCACCTCCAGGACTGACCGCTGCCCCCCCCCCTCCCTGAGACATTATCCTGACTAATTCCAAGATCATTTAAGATTCTCTCCAAGATCTCGTTTCCATCGGGTTTTATTTTCTCTCCGTCCGTTCGTTCCATTTATTCTCCTCCTTCTCTCCATATCTGTGGAGAATATCTGTATCGGGACTTTGGCGTAACCTAACACGCTGTTTATCTCTGTCTGCGTCTGGCACTGTCTGCCTCCTGCTGATATTAGGGGTGGGGCGGGGGCCTGCCTCGGCACGTACATCTGGCCTCCAGGATCAGATTGGGTTGAAGGTGTTGAATTTTATCAACTCTGTACATCTCTCTCTCTCTCTCTCTCTCTCTCTCTCTCTGGTTGTTTACTCCACTCCAGCGCCCTCTGGTTGTTCCTCGGTAATCCCAATAGTCAACACACTAGTGATGCACCGATTATAGGGATTAGTAATCTGACCATCTGACCCACAGACACTCAGCCGTGGTCCTCGTCCTCGTCCTCGTCCTCGTGCCTTAATTGCTGATGTTTTATTTTTTGCTCCTGTGATGTAACTCATGTCTGGTTCAAATAATCGTCTGTAAATCTCCGTCCTGACGTTCAGTGGAGTGGATTCTGTGTGAGTGGGGGGGGGTATAAATAAACCTGCAGTTGTCACAGTGTCACAGTTCAAATCTCTCCGACCCCGACTTTAATCAGAGTTATGTAAAAATCACGCTGACTCTCTCTGCTCTGCTCTTCACCTGATCTCGCTCTGATCTTCATGTCACTTCCTTATCTTTGGTCCAGACTTCCTCCCTGACTCCCCCCTCCCCCTCCCCC